ATATATATATTTTCTTTCAAATATTAATTTTAAAATTTTACTTCAAACTTGCTAGAAATATAACTGATCTCCCATAAAATGACGATCAAGTGACTTTGTTTAAAATTATTCAATTTGATTAGATATTAAAACGAACTTGTTTTTTAAAAGTAAAATTACAATACCACTCTGTCTTTTTTCTTGTTATCTCTTTTAATATTCTTAGAGGAAAAAAAGAGTTAATGAACCAAAAAACAACTTAATTTGAAGTTAGAATTAGCTTTACATTTAAATTCGGAACCAACTTAAAAGAGAAAAATATCGAATGTATAATTTTCTTAGTATTTAATTACTATTATTTTCTATTGTTTTAATTTATTCGTAACCAGAATCGTAAGTTGTTTTACAATTGCAAAACAAAAAAAAAATGTTATGCTGAGATTTTAGAAACGGTTGAATGCTCTGAAGCGGTTAATTTAGAAACGCTCTACTGCACATTTCTCGTACATAAAGAAAGTTAGTTCAAGGTAAATAAAAGGAACCAAAATTTATATATTATTATTACTACAAATAATTCATTGTCATAATATCATAGATTTCATACAATGTATTGGCATACTTACCTGAAATTAATTTTAAAATATTTTATTAATTTAATGAGATATATCATTCAATACTAATTTAAAACATGAATGTCTAATAAATAAAATGGTACAGTATATTAAAGTTATTTTGATATACCATAGTTTTAATTAATAAATTTTTTCATATTTACTCTTTCTCTCTGTAGATACTAGTAAGGCATTTTTACATGCCTGTAATGAATTTGACAGGTCTACAATAGAGTCGAGATCTGAAATGTTCGGGAAAAATTTCCGTACCCGATTACAGTTTCTCCAGAACACAGTCTGGCTCCTTGTCACTTTGGCCATCTGATTTGATGGATTAAATGATAAAGTTAATCACTTTTTGAGGATAAAACAGACATAAAATTGATCAAAAATTCGAAAAAAATCGGATAAAAATATAATTCAAATTATGATTTGTATTTCTATTTATACATAAAAAATTGTCTAAACATTCAGCCGAGCATCATCAAATAACTGACGAATCGTTACTGTCATTAACACGGAATTTACGGTTCATAAAGTCAACGGGCAAAACTCGTTTAAAAAAAAACTATGCTGACGTGTATCTATGATATAGTGGTATAATAAATTTATGAAAAAATATGGCAAGCAATATCGGACTTTTTCCAAAAGAACATGTGTAAGGCCAAACGTATTAAAACTGTAAAAAGACATCGCAAATAAAACTGAAAATTTGAAAGTTTGTATATATTACAGTGGCATACAATCCATGAAAGTCGTGGAAACGCCACTTTCCTTGTATTTTCTAAAATATAAATACGTATTGTGCGATTACCTTGTATTTTCAATTTTTACGTACTTTGAATTAATTAAAATTAATATTTTATTATACCGCATTATGTATATTATTACAAATTTCTATACTACATGTGAAAAACAATGATAAAATGTGCTATTGTATATTCGAATATAAATTTGTCCTTCATACTCTAACAAGGTGATCATCCGTTACCAGGGCCGGATCAACCCACTTTGGGGCCCTAGACATTTTCTTCTTCAGAGTACCCTGTCGGCTCTTTCAATTAATAAATTTTGTTACTATTATTTCTATTAAATCGCATACGGACACTGCAGCTGCTTAATAAAAAATAAAAGCAAAATTATTTAATAATATTTCACAGGATTTCACTGGAGTATATATAGTTAATATTATTCTTATCGCTATAAAAAAAATTCTAAATTATTGGGAGTTCCCTTTTACTTTCAATTAGAAGAAACATAAGAATACGAGGGTTTGTTCAAAAAGTTCCCGAACTTTATTTATTACAAAAAAATACTTCACATACTTCACATATTTGTCAGGGTCCCCTTCAAAGTAGTCTCCTCCGCAACGTATACACTTATTTCAACGGTGTTTCCACTTTTTGAAACAGTCCTGGAACGCTTTTTCCGGAATGCTCATAAGCTCCTCCGTCGTTTTTTTTTATCTTTGGAATGGTGGCAAATCTTTTTCCTTTGAGCGTGTTTTTTAGTTTGTTGGAGAACAGGAAAAAGTCTCTTTGTGTCAGGTCAGGTGAGTAGGGGGGAGCACAGCGGTCTTGTTTTTGGCCAAAAACTCACGAATTCTGAGGGACAAATGAGCCGGCGCGTTGTCGTGATGAAAAAAAAACCCTCGCCGCTTCTCCAAAGTTCGGGCCGTTTTCGCCTGATTCTCTCTCTTAGGCGTTTCATAACACCAAGTAGTACTCCGTGTTGACTGTCTGGCCTGTAGATAGGTATTTGTGATGCACAACCCCCTTTGCATCGAAAAAAACAGCCAACATCATCTTAACATTTGAGCGAACTTGTCGAGCTTTTTTGGAGCAGGGGCCAGTTTCACCCACCCATGGGAAGTTTCCGTGAAGGATTTTCGGAGTTTCACACAGAATTTCACAGAACAACGCTGCTCTTTCAAAGAGCTGATTTCCGCGGATCCGATTTTTCGCCGAACCCCACAAACACCCCTTCACATAAACGGCCGTAACTAATCACCAAAACAAGATATCAACAAACGGGTTGAAGGAGGTTACTCGGGAGGTTTCCGCGGACACAACGCCTCCAAGCGAATTAAAAAATAACCAACTGGAGGCGCGCTATTCGAAAAGTTCGGGAACTTTTTGAACAACTCACGTTCATTTTCTTTAGATTTTAGAATTCATTATAACCATATAAAAAGCAATACTGTATATTTTTATTTATTATATACAGTTGTCCAACAGAAAAGTAAACTATCTTATTTACAAATCTTTTCAAAATAGACAGTTTGACCGGGCCCTTCTAAAAACCGGGCTCTAAACATTTGTCTCATATGTCTATGCGATGATCCGGCCTTGTCCGTTACCAAAAAGAACCTGGATTCGTCGCTAAAGACTACATGCTGCCAGTTCGTAGCAGTTCACGTTTCTCTGTCATGGCACTACGTCAAACCAAGCCGATGTTGTTAGGCTACTGGTGGTACAATAAAAGACAGGTTCTGTAGCGAGGTTTCCATCTGTTTCTGGATAGTGGACAAAGACGCGGTCACAGCTGTTCGTGATTGTCACACTTTTTATGTCTGGACTGTTCGGATCCTTCCCGCGTATATGTGGACCCTCACGTATCCATTACCCCAACTTGACTTCACAATCAGATAAAATGCCCCAGATAGCAAACAATTCGGCGAAATGTCCATCTTGCTTCCCTCGACCAAATGATGTGGCCTTTCTCAAATTCCTTCAGCAGTACATGAAGTCTTCGACTGTATTGTACTAGCATGTCTGACATTAGAAGACTTCCAAACAGCGGAAACAAAAAATCCAACAACGAGTTCCTTAACTTTCCCAGAAACATTTAGTGGCACTATCTGTTATATTTTATTTAAAATCTTTTTATATTTTTAACTATTATAAAATGGCAAAAAGCTTAATTTTGAGGGTAGGGATAGGTTTTATTTTAAAAATAGTGTAAACGCTAATAACGAGTAAAATCGTCATTAAGTCCGACTCTACCGGCGATACACACGACTCCTTTTATCTCCTCACCTACTCGATCTAAAATTACCAAAATAATAACATCAATCCCCATAATACACAAACCTGCCTGAAAAATTTCAAAAATTTTCGACCAAAAATACATTTTCGTTTAAATTTTAATTATATTTTATAAATTTGTCTTAAAAAATTATTTCTAATCACTTATTTGTTATATTCCTTAAGATTTTATTGTATTCTGATCCTAGTCCTAACAAGTAGTTTTGCATAAACAAGTAGCCTAAACTTGAATTTGCGTGAGTTTACTTTTTACAGGAAGAAGCGCATTTAAATTTGTTTAATCTTATTCCAACTCTCATTTGCTCTGAACATATGTAAGAAAATCTGCTGCAATTTTAAACCTTATTCTGTATTCGGCTGTATTCTACATTGTACTGTACATTACAGAATGGCAGATGATCGCGCAGTACATGAGAAAAATCCTCAAAAAATAAATGTGTGATATTTAAACTAATACACGTAAACAATTAATATAACTTTTTAACTTTATATTAAGTAAAAGTTTATATACACATTTAATTGTTCAACATAATTATAATTCTGGCTTAGACATATGCTAACTGCAATGTTTTTTTTTTTTTTAATTAGGTTCAACGTTGAGACAATACTTCTCCAGTGTTTACATGCACATTGTTGGAGAAAATCCATTATTTTCCGATCAGAATTTTACCAATCGAACATCTTCACTTGAGAGATTTGAAACAATCGAAGACGGTGCTACGTTGTCACCGTCCACTTTAACTGAAGTAGAAGAACACGTCCTTCGTTAGCAATGACGAAAGACATGTATCATTCCAAGTACCGTCAGCAGGAAAGGGAAGACGCCAAACCACCACAAAAAGTCACATCCGATTAAGGAAGTCTAGTCCAGTTCATTAGGTCACAGCCAAGCAAGAATCCATGTGGCTACACGCCTGTTTATTATTTTTATTATTATTAATATGTATAGTTTAATTTAAATTCTAGAATTTTCCTTCCTTCCAATTTCTTTGTTCCTTTGTCTCGGACTTCGAAGAACTCGCCCCTAACCCATCAGGAGGTAGGATTAGAACAATAGACGGCAACAAGGCTGGAGAGGAAAAGGAGAGATTCCAGAATTATTCTTGGGCCGGACTCCGAGAGAGAAGGACGAGCGGCAGCAGACTCCGAAACGGAAAGACGGGAACCGCTGCAGGAGGAGGCCATAAGAATCGGATCGGCAGAAGAATACGATCGTTGATTACAGAAAATGAAACCCCGAAACGGACCCGAATTGTTCTAAAAGGAGAACAGCTGCAGAAAGAAGCCGAGACGAGGAACGGTGGAGAACCAACAGAAAAATTGGGTACCCTCTGTCCTTTAGTTCTTCTTACTTCCCCTTATACCTTTCCTATCTTTTAGTTTAAGTTAGTTTAAGTTTACGCGCGCAAATAGATTTGTCGGGAGGTAGTTATCGGAAAAGTAACTACCGGTCTATTGGTATACCTGTTCACTCGGAATTTGGAAACGTTTGTAGGTAAACTGCAGGAATCCGAACCTTTTTTGTATATATGTATCTTTCAATGTCAGCGCGAAATTAAACTCGTTTAATTGGTAAAAACGTGAATGTATTTTCCCCGTCCGCGCTGCACATTTCACATCCAAATCCGGGTAAAAAAAGAAGTCACATTCGGGGGAGGAAAAGTCACATCCGGTGAGAAGACCTTGCTAATTTATTTCTTCCAGAAGAAGAATAGCTTCTTCCACCAAGGCTTCTTTTTAGGCTTTTTCAGAATCGATTTACACTCCTCTTCCATTCCTTCCTCGCGTGCCTGTCTCTGCACCAACCATTCCGGAACTTCTGGGTATCTCTGTTCCAGGTAATCGATGACAGACGAGGTGCTCTCATCGGGAATGGTGACAATCGCCCGTTTCTTGTCGGGTTCACCAGATTTCTCCTCTGCACCCTCCACCACTTCTTTCGGAGGGAAGCGAATCACTCGAATTGAAGAGGAAGCCGATTCCGATGTCGAGGTGCTTTCTTCTGGACTGTCTCTTCCAGAGGTATTCCACTTTTTCAACGCTTTGAAATTATCCATTCTGCAAACAAAAAAGAAATGAGCATTAAATTAAGACAATATTAAAAAGTGAAATGAAAATTTAATATATATACGATAGGAAATTATAGAAAAGTTCGTTTTAATTATAAAGAAAAATTTTAGTCACAAATAAAGTTGTAATGGAACTATAAACTTTGTCGAAAGCATTAAAATTGTTTATTCAATTATTATGTATACTAATTAAATATATTATAATAATAAAAGTTCTATGGTTTATAAAAGTTATGCTATTCTGTTGATCGTAATTAAAACTAATGAAAATATTCTAGAAGAAATTAAGAGAAAAGAAAATTACGAATAAACTCATTCATTCTAATTCATTAATGTTTAGATTAATTATAGCTATGTGTGAGATCAGCCGGGGACACCTGCAAAAGGGTACCACTTACTCGGCCTATTCGGTGAGAATAGTTCCCTAAAGTTTCAGATCTCTAGATCTGATCTTAAAAAGTTTCATAGGAGAGCGATAATCGCTAGTTGATCTGAACTGTGAAGTTCAGATGCTCGTCAGGACTGACACCAGTTTGTCAATTAAATTCAGCGGACAAACACGCGTGTGAGATCTGATTCGGACACAAAATTAAGAGACATTTTAATTAAAAACGAAATAATAAATTTAATAAAACAAGAAAATAAACTCATACAAAAATGTGGACGAACGAGAGACAGAACTACTGCAAATAATATACAAATCGAGAGATAGCTATACTTATATTATACCGAAGGCGCGATCGAGAGAGAGCTCACAAAATCGTTATAAAACATACAACCTGTTTTAGTTGTCGTTCGTCTTCTTCTAGTGTAGGGAAGGGACACTTTGTAGATAATGTTCATTTACATCTTAACATGGGAGATCAATCGTGCACAAAATCAAAATATATTTCCTAAGTGCAGACTCTGGACTTTTTCTAAGTGTCTCGACTGAGGGCGTTGGTCATCAGGAGGAAAAATGTATGGAGTTTGGACGCTTCCTGAACTCCGTCGCTGAACTAATTTCCCTTATATCTCAAGATTTTCGACCAATCATCTGTTTGAAATTCGTTCATGTGAACGGATGAAAAGGGAATCGAAGAGGGGTAGATAGTTCCCATCTGAGCGAGATTTTTAGCGGATAAGGGAAAAACAGAGGATGTACGGACTTCCCTCACAGGAAGTAACATCTGCTATCTATCTTTCCCACGTCCAAAACATTAGTTTTCTCACAAAAATGAAGTAATATTTTGTGACAATATTTTA